CGTGTGCTCTTCCGATCTATGCGAGGAGAGAAAACGATATTAATTAGTACACATAATATGGAAGTAGGCCGATATACTTGGTGATAGAATCGCGATTGTGCATGCAGGTCGTCTTAGAAGTTATGGCACTGCAATGTTTTTGAAGAAACAGTATGGTATGATATTGCGCTTACGGATATTTAAATAAGTAAAGTAAATTTAGATCATTATTTTATAAATTATAACTTTCCTGCTTTTAGGTCATGGACATATCGAAGTTACATTGTCGACAAAGTCTTGGTGTATTCCTGAAAAAGTTATAAGTAAATTTGATTCACGAACGGAACAGCTTAGTGTTGATAGTGAAAAGATTGTTTTAAATGTGCCTTTTACGGATTCTTTACCACGATCACTGGACCAAGTAGAAAGCGAAAAGTCAAAATTGGGAGTTACTGGGATAAGCGTGTCATTGATTACTTTGGAACAAGTATTTTTGAAGTATGTTCGTTAAAATTGTGCTTTTTATCATTAATTTATTACTATTTTCTTACTTTACTATTTGTTGTAGAATTGTGAAGAAAGAAGATAATGGGAAACATCTTAATGAATTATTTACAGCACCATTACAGAAAATTACAGGCAATGAGCTATACATGCAATCAATGTTGGCATTATTGGGCAAGAAAATTACATATACAAGAAAGAATCTAACTATCTTATTGATAATTGTACGTATGCCTTCTTAAATGCTTTTACTAAAACAAAGATCAAATTTTGCATTTTGTCTTATATTAGTATTTGTTTTTGTAACACTTCAAAATTGAAAAGTTTCTTCTGTTACCATGTTATTAACGTTTTCAGCTAATTCTTCCTATCTTTTCGGTGCTTTTAATGGCCTTAAGTTACAATTTGCCATCCGATTCCATGAATATTATTTCATTAACTCTTGACATGTACAGACATCCCAAAACTTTATATTCGTCAAACAACGAATTAATTGGTCTGAAATACAGAGGTATTGTTGAAAAATTCGGCATAGCAGAGCGCGTAGCTTCGGATACAGATATTACAAATGGTAAGTGTATTATATAATGATTTTTTTGTGCATCAGACACGATAATAAAGAGTGGCCCAAAAAGGGTAGTTTTTTCACCCGTTTTTTTTGGGCCCTCGATTTTGGGACTGGACTGTGTGCCAAATCTTATAATGAGATATTAATCATAGAGAAGTTTCAGATTGAGGTGACAATTGTTATCACAGCTGGAGGGGTGTTACTTGTTACATCTTTTTACGCGAAAACTCGATTTTTTTACATCCAAAACGTCGTTTATGTAAAACTGCGATCAACCTTCATGGGCTGGATCAATCTTCTTAAAATACCGAACCTTGTAGACCTGTGATAATTTCATAACGAACTTTGATTTTATCCCTCTTCTCCTTCAGCTTTGATAACAATTGTTCACTTCAACTTGAAACTCCTCTATAATTAATATCTCATTATAAGGTATTATTTGGCACACAGTTCCGTCTCAAAATCGAGCGTTTAAAAAACGGACGATTTTTTGATGTTACTCTTCGTTTGAATGATAGTTTTTATATCTATTATTTCTTTCAGCTCTTCTAAATTTTTCCATAAAAGATATTGTGGAATACCGAAACAATCTTATCATATCCGCCGAATTTAATGACACTGAAAGTAACGTGACGTGGGCTAATGGTTTTTATTCCGGCTCAGCAATACACAGCGTGCCGTTAACGATAAATCTCTTAAGTAATTCGTTCATCAAAGCTTTCGCTGGCGATAAATATTCGATCGTTGCGTCTAGGCAACAATTACCGAATACATTACTTTCGACTGCGATACTAATGCCGGAACTGGAATCATTTTCGCGCGTTTTCATATTCTGTTCATTCTTCTTTCCCACTGTGTCACTTTTCGTAATGCATCCTTTACAAGAAACGATGACAAAAGTTAAACAACTCCAACGCATGACCGGCGTCACATCGATATTATACTGGGGTACAATGTTCGCTTTTGACTTTCTGATACTTACGTTAGGTGTGTTGCTAATTACTTTATCACTCTACATCATGGATATTATTCTTGGTCTTCGTCTATATTATATAACAGAAATAAGTAAGTTTTCAAATTATGTTCAATATTAATTGCTACTATATTTTAATATTTATATATTTATTTACTTTCTTTTACAGTGTGCACGATATTGCTTCTGGAGTTATTCGGTGTTAACGTTTTACTTTTTACATATCTATTCAGTTTTATGAATAAATCAAGGAGCACTGTAACATCTATATTGAGTATCGCACCTAGTTGCTTTGGTAAACTTGCAATTTGTTCTTAAAGATGTTAAAAGTTTCAATGGATATTGAATTAAATAAATTCAATAGTTTATTAAAAATACGAATACATTATTATTTACAAAGAAAATTAAATCTGAAAAATTATTCCAGTTTTTATACAGTATTTTCTACATACAGTGTTAGAAAGTAGTCAAAATCAGAAAGATTCAAAGCTTCGTCAACTGTATATTCTGCAAAAGAGAATCTTCCCTTTAATGCCTTACGTAAGTTTGTTCCACGGTCAACTATCTTTTTTCGACGTATCATTACAAAATGCAAGGTGTCGTCGTCTACCAAATAATCTTCAGGATATAATTTGCCTTTCAGAACAAAAAGATCTTTGTTGTGGTAAGATTATGCAATATTTGAATCAAATGCAAGATACTAACTATAAATTTATGATTTATTAATTTATTTCATCATTCTTTT